AAATGACATTATATGAGACCTGATTGGTTCAGAGGTATGAGATTTGTATAGCTGAATGCTTTGTTTGATAAATGGAAAGGATTTGGGATTATGTTCCTATTTATTCATATATTTGTATATATATGAATAATTGTTTTTCACAAAGATTTTGGTGATTTACACCCTGCAATAGCATAAATAGGGTATGTCACTAGACCTTTCAGTCTAACCCTCGTTTTGTGATTTTAACTATGTGTTGCAGGAGGTACGGACAGTAAGGGAAAGGGGAAAATTTAATATTTTCCTATATGCATTTCTGCTTGAAGATCTATTTTGATGTACAGTTTTGATTGATTAGTACAAGAAATGTATTTTGAATTTTTGGACCTTGTATTTGGTCATGTTAGATTCTTGTACTAAGGGACCTGAATGGAATAATATGTATTTCTTTTGTATGAAATGTGTTACATGCAATGTGTGGGTTGGGGGGTTACACTGTATAAAGATCTTCTTTGGATGGATTAGTAGCTTCAAATAGCTACTTACAAATCATTGGTGCATGAAGATCTTCCTTCAATCGGCTTGTAGCTTCAAAATATTTTCAATCTTCATATCAGCTACTCTGGAATCTTGGTGTGTAATTTTGATAGTTGATCCACAGTACCACATTGATGATCTTCTGTCTTCACATCAGTTAGTCTTCGATTTTGCCAATGACTTTAAGTATGTACCAAGACACCAATATACAAAAAATCAATAACTACTAAGTGTTGCTAGGGTAGAGGAACATATTAGTGGGTCATCACCAAATCAATAGGTGACCCAACAATCTCCTCCTATTTGATGATGGCACAACCTCTTAGAAAGAAATAAATATAAGATACACAAACTCTAAAATTATTTTAGAAAAAGAACTTATAAATTCGGTGACCCATGTACATATTATTTTTGGGTTCTTTTCTTTTTCTTTTTTTTTGTTTTTTTAACTATAAACGTATATACAAAATAAATAATGAATCAAAGAGAAACAAATAAAGAATGAAAAAACTTGAAATAAATACATAAATATAAATTGCATCTATACTAGACAATGAATTTAAATACTTACAGTGAAGAAGATAGTTCAAGAAGAAGAAGTCATATAGATGGGCCAACTTTATTCAACATCAGCTTATGAAAGGAAAGTTGTGCAAGGGAAGGCAGATTGTAGTGCTTCTTGATCATTTGTATCTTTTTCAGGAGACGATACAAATAATCCAAGACAAACTCCAAATACATGCTTCTGCTCTTCTTGAGAAACTTGATTATCTCTATCCATTTAGATAGGCCATAAGCATTTATCCAAGACAGTTTTTCGGTTCTCACTACTCCGTTTGCTCGACCAATTATCAAATAAATCTGACTTGAATCGTAAGTCAATTTTTGAGGACCTTTAATTCTAGCACTGATAATTCGGGTAGCAATATACTGACGGAGAATTGAGTCGTTGAACCATCTTATTCTTTTCTCTTTAGTTTCTTCAAATTCTGATCGTTGGATCAAAGTGTGAGACCTGTTGGCTTCATCAAATTGCTTTTGAAGAGCAATTGAATTCGACGAATCCTCAGCAGAAATGCCTAGTAAATGAAGATAAGTTTCAGGAGGAGCTAGAACTTTAAGCACAAGTTTGCCTTTTGATGAGGCCTCAGTTCAATTCATTACAAGTTTGGCTGCTTTAGCTTCAACAACTTCTTCATCAGATGTCATGGGTGCCTTTCCTTCTGGATGAGTTGGAGCCATGTCCCCAGAAGAAGCAAAAATACCAACCAGAGAATAAGTAGTACCAACCTAACAAGAAATGACCTGCTGATGCTCCCCCTCAATAGATACTGTAGGCTTAGAACTCAGCTGCTCCCTCTCAACAGATACTGCAACTCTGTCATGATCAGCCAGCTCCCCCTCAAAAGGAGTATCAATGGTCATCATCAGATGAGGAAGAAGAGATAGATATTGAGTCGTCCCCGATGTCACTGATAGCATGATCAACTGTCTTCTCCCCCTCAATGGGAATAGGGGAAGGCACATAAGCAACAATTGGGAGTTCTTCCGCATTGGAAATGGAGGAAGGCATAGAAGTAGCAGCATGAGAAGAGGGAGTAAGCAGAGTACATGTGGCACGTAGTAGACGAGAAACACTATCGATGGAGATTGCCCAGAAAACTAGAATAAAAACAGAAGTATGTGAGCAAGTTTTGATTGAACTTACTGACCTATCCGAAGAAGAAGCTGCAACACTCTCATTACCATCGGTGCCCTGAAAGTCACTGATGGGAATATCACAGATGTCGACCTTAGGCTAAACATTTGTATCAACAATATCGGTGGGAGGCTCGATATCTGTATTAGTGACACCGGCATGAGGCTCAGTGTGTTGGTCCCAGCCGAGTCTACAAGAGTTTTTGACGAACAATTTGTAGAAGGTGCAAAGAATACAAACATAGAAAACTTTTTGTATTTAAATATATATATTGATAAAGAAAGATCAATACAGATTTTTTGCAGATTGTTTGCGGTAATTAAAAAGGTAAAGATAACCTATCTAAAAAATCTAAGATTACACACAAATACACTTGGCAAAGATAAGAAATTTTCCGAAAAGATAAAGACAGAAAGATGTTCTTCTTGGGTAAGAACTTTTAGAATTCTTGAGAGGGATTCTAACTTGCTTGAAGATAAGCGTATGTGTTTTTTAGATAGATGTGTGATCTATCTTGCATGAAGAGAGCACTTGGCTATTTATACCCATTCCATTAAATGCAAAGCAGGGTTGGAACACGCATCAAGCTTTAAGAGGAAAGCTTGTCCTTTGCTATAGTGAATAGTACATTTGTCTATTCATGAGCATACATTCTTTCGTGGAGTTGGTGGGCACTAGAGTCGACTAGTCGGCTTCGTGCAGTACTATACTCTTGAAAGGGTATGGGTTTGTCCTTTGTGTTTGGAAAGGACAAGACAAAAACAATCTTGCATGGCAAACTTCATTTGATCGCTGAATGTTTGAATAACACTAGAGGTCTCTTCAGCATTCACTGAGGCTTGTGCAGTCTTCACACATATGTTGACCATGTTGTAATCAGTGAATACCGCTTCAAATCATGAATGCACCAGTCACTAATCTTCAGTTTCAGTCTTCAACATTCACTGAATGCTCTTTGGTGTGAGTTTTATCTTCTTGAAGTATCACTATCGCTATAGGATTTACAATGTGTGCAATCACTGAATAGACTTAGTGATGATCGCTGGAACTGAAAAGACAGAAACACTAATACTTCGAAAGGTAAAAGGGATTATCATCAAATCAATAAAAGAGAGGATCAACAACTCCCCCTATTTGATGATGACAAAGCAACATAAAGAAAATTGCTTTAAGGTTTAATAGTAAGGAAAAGTTATATATAAAGTACATGTCCCTTTTGACTATTTTGGGATCATTTTCAGTGAATCAGTCTTTACTTTATAAGTTTTCTAAAGTTACAAGTTTAAGAAAAAGTACAAGAAGGGAAACTGAAACTGAAAGCATGTTCACTGACTGAAGATTGTCAGTGAGAGTAAGAGCATATTGGAACTCATATACATGTGTCCCTATTACTTTTTTTAGGGATCTTTTTCAGTGAGGCTGATGAAATACTTATATTAATCAAAGGAAAAATACAAGTGTTTCAGTCAGTACATATCTAGACTTATTACATATAAGTTGTACACTGAAAGAAAATACATAGATAAATAAGACATACAATGAAAGATAAATTTACAATACATAATTTCATAACTAATCTAGGTCGTTGAAGCCAATGTAACCATGTACTTATTCTCCAAGCATCTTTCGACATAGAAATTCTCTTCTGATCTTGCGGTCTATCATTTCACCATATAAATCATTGTCTAACCAATATCTTAGATAGGCAAGATGTTCCATGGGACAAAGATTAAACTCAGACACTCTCTAGAAGCTGTGTTCGCCTTCATAGTCAAAGAAAATAAATCCAAACTCAAGCTTTAGATGCACGGTGTTGGGAATGTAAGGATCCTTCGCTGGCAAAGAGAGGTTCAGCATTGAGATTTTTGACTTCTTCAAATCCTCAGGACTTCGTCCAAGGAGAACTTTGTTTCATGTTCATTCCTCAGAGTTGGTCCGTCGTTAGGACTTGAAGGTCTTCTTCTTCCAACTTTCTTCAGTGACGGCTTTGTAGGTACAACAACGAATTTAGACATCTTCTTGATTAGCTTATTGAGGATGTACCTAAGTATTGGCTTGTGCCTTGACTTTGACCACTGAATGGCTTGGCGGATCTCCAGCCATTCACTATAGCTGTACAGACCTAGGTAGGAAGGATACTCTGTGACAGCTTCAAGATTATCTCTGGTGACGTTTGAGATGCGATGAGGACTTATTCTCTTGTTCAGACGATCTTCGCTCCACTTTCTGTCTCGGTCGTTCAGCTTCATTGCCTTTTCTTGTTCAGCTTTTGCAATGGAAAGTAACATAGCTTGGGCCTTGACAACTTTCACCATGTTTTAGACCTTTTCTTTAGAAGAACTTGAGTAGCAAGAGACTTGGTCAGCTTTATGCCATCCTCAATCTGTTGTCGTTGAAGATTGAGTTTTTCCTCAGGCTTGAGTGCCTCGAGTCTTTCAGCTTCAGACAGGAAGTCAAACTCACCACAACTAGAGGTACGAAAAGGGATTTTTACTCTAGTTTAGTCGAGTGACTCCTTAAGCTGAGGCATTTGTTGGTTGCTAGGACAAATGGAGTTTGGGTTTTCAAATACCCATTCCTCTAGCCAACCGCAGGTAGTAGAAGTGATAGAAGAGAGTTGACAAAAAGAAGTAACAAGAGCAAACCTGGAAGATTTTGTACTTTAAGGCACAACAAGTTTGAAGAATACCTTGAGATTTCCTTTTTCATCAACACCTTTGTCTTTCGATGCGGTGTTCTAGTTCTTTGTAGATGTCTCCTTCTCTTTTTCTTTCTCTTTCTCCCCCTAGGATGTAGAATCTCTGAGAGAGACTCCTTTCAGAGCGCTGGTGGGTTTGTGGTACTGAATCTTGAAATCATCATCATTGCCGTTTTCATCATCATCACCACCGAGATCCTTTCCAGCGTCAGGAAGGGTAGAAGAATCATCGTCATCTTCATTATCATCGTCTTCATCATCATTTTCCTTATCACCAGCATCCGCTGAAGGGGTGAAAGGAAGGTCTTCATTATGAGCTTCAACATCAGCTCTGACGGCTTCATCAACGAACTCAGCTTCATTATCTTCATGGGAGGTGATGGTTTCATCAACAACCTCAACGTCATTAGCTTCAGCTCTAGTAGCGTCAACTTCAGTTTCAGTTGTGGGGATAGCATCAACAACGTCTAAATCTTTCTCCCCGTCTTTGTCATTAGCATGACTAGAGAACAGCTTATCAAGACTTAGTGCTATGATGTCCATCCGCTGCTCAAGCATGGTCAGCAATTGAGCCTGAAAAAGACCAACTTCGAGAGCCTAATCCAGTTGTAGGCGATCTGTTGCTGTGAAGGAGGGCGTAGGAGCTGGTACTGGATGTTGGAGGAGCTCTAGTATCTACTGCAACAGCTCACCATGACTGGCAAGCTGAGCATTTGCTTCATCAGTTGTGCTGGTTAAAGCAGATATAGCCTCAACATTAGTGCTTATAGCAACTTGCACCGCATAAAGCTGTTCCTTGACCTCTTGAATGTCATCTTTGACAACTAAGAGGTCAGCAAAAACTTCATCCCTGAGAGGCATGCCTTTATGGACTTCATCCATCTTTACAAAGACAGTCTCTACGGTGGGGAGTAATAGCTTCACGTCATCGGCCATGTTATATTCATCTTCCATGGATGGCGTTCCTTTGTCGCAAGGACCTGAAAAAGAAGATGTTTGAGCATAATATAGCTCGTGGTTAGAAGAAATGAAGGGGAAGGATGGAGGATTACTTGAGGGTTCATCAGCACCATCTGAAGGATTGATGTTGGTTCTCTCCAGGTTGCCTTCGAGAGGAAAGGCGTCCATTAACTGAGGTGTTTCGAGAGGAGCAACCTTAGGTTCTGTGGTGGGTGCTTCATCATCAGTGAGGACAATCGCTGATGAGTCATAAGCACGTGTCGAGACCAAAGAAGGAGGAGAAGAGAAAATGGCTGAGACTGGTGGAAGTGGGTGTTCAACAGTGGCTATGTTGATATTAACACCTTCAGTGATTTGGGTCATTGAGGGGGTTGGGATCGGAGCCACAGGTACGACAATAATTGTAGAAATCACTGAAGAGGGAAGAAGGACATACAAGCACAGTTGGAGAAAATGAAGAATGTGCAGGCACAATTACAGAGAGTACATCTTCATTCTGCGGCTTATGAGCCAAGATTATGGATCCAAGCTTGTAGATGGGTAGGTTGCTTTATGTGGAGTACTTGTTGCAAAAGATCTTGGCAAACACCTTGGACAAGAACCTGGTGTAAGGTACTACCTTCTTCCTTTGGTGCATGTTCAGCTTCAGCACCAGATTCAAAGATCACACCAGCAAAGTTTATTGAGCGTTGGCGAATGACGGAGACTTCAATGTTCAACGCAACTTTGGAGGCTTGATCTTGGCCACCAGTCTTGCCTCCCATACATTGGATGAAATGGGAAAACAAGAATTGCCAAACCGCAGACATGTGGTTCTTCTCAATATTTGAAGGAGACTTGAGGAGATCGTTGCATTCCTTCTTTGTTGGCCAGGCATAGCCAATATCATCCAAGCAAGAGATGATATCTTTAGTGGAAGGGTCACTAGAGTAAGGACCCTTTGGAAGACGTAGGGTGGTCCTTAGCGTGGCAACGCCAAACTGACAGTCATTCTGTTGAACGTGAAAGAGATTTTCTCCACCTACTAACCAGTCTTGTCAGTGTCATGAACAACTTCAGCGGTGAGCCAGAACTACTGAAGGACTTCCTTAACCATGATTGGTTCATGGGAGATAGCATAGGATATAGGGGAGTTCCTGAGGAAAGTAGCAGCTACTTCATAGTAGGACTTGTTCGCCGGGATGTCTAACAAAGCCACATGGTTGTTTGGCTTGAAAGACACATTGTCGATTGAAAAGTTCACGTTCTTGGCAGACATTTTCTGTTGTAAGTAAGAAATAAGAGATAAAAGATTTTTTAGTAATCCAATATATAGATGTGAGCTATTAAGTTTTGAAACAATAAAACTTCTTTTGGTAAATCCATAAAGAAAATATTAGGGTTTTTCAAGAAAAATAAGTGTATTGAAACCTTAGATTATAGCCAAGTAGGAGAATGTGTTAATAATCTTTATGTTGGTTATTTAAGAGAACAAGATCTTAAGTAACCAAGCAACAGTTTCTTAGAAGAAGAAGAATAGATCAATAAGAAAGAAAAGATATCAATCTTTCAGACTTAGAAAAAGAATTTGAGGCAGAAGTTCGACAAAATTATTTGAAAGCGTAAGGCAAAAATGAGTGTATAAGTCTCATATTTATGGTAGAAGGCGAGAGAAAAAGAATTTGGAGAGAGAAAAATACGACTTTTAAAGTTGTACAATGATGAAAGTAGCACGTTCTCATCCATGATTGGATGGAATTTTGAGGGGTCGCGCATGTCAGAACGATACGCGCATCTCAAAAAAATCGTATCGTTTAAATAAAATGTCGTCATAAAACGTTTCATTTTCAATTTCTTTTAAAACAAAAAGGTTTTAAGAAATTCAAAAGCCACTTTCTTAAGAATATGAAAGGTTTTTGAAAGCGTTCTGTAACATCCAATTTCTAATATGCCCAAATTATTTGCTAAATATATTTAACTATTGGTTTAAAGAGAATCTATGATTTAGTGGGAGTTGGGTTTGAAATTTTAGAATTATACTTCTTAGGAGTATATTAGAGGATTTGGGAAAATTTCACGTCACATAGTTACGTAAAACTGATTTTCTTAGGAGATCTTTTCTGGAATATTGTTGTTAGATGTTATATATTATCTCTTTATGAACGTGTAGGTGAAAATCTCATAGAAAACGGAGGTCCGAGCGAAAAGTTATGAATAATTTAAGTTTTGATGGTCAAAATGGGTACCTAGCCGGGCCAACCCGGCACAACTCGAGTTTTAGCATTATAAATTGGATTTTTGGCCCATTTTTATTGTCATTTGAGTCCAGAACTCACACACACTAGAGGTGCGATTTTCACACACATAGGCTTGATTCAACTCAAATCAAAGAGAAACTACAAGATCTTTGAAGGATTTGATCATCAAGTAAGGTATAATCTATTTTTGCACTTGTTTTTGGTTGACATTCTTGTTATATGGATTGCATGTTSAGTTAGAGTTAGGGTTTCATATGGGTTTGATCTTAAGTGTATAAAATGAGTGCATTTTAGTGTTTATGGCATGAAATGGTCATTAGATTCAAGAGATTATCAAGATTTATGCAAGTTCAACATATGAACTTTGACTTGATTAAGTCAATGATTTGGGAGATAATATAAATGATAAAATAAAGGTTGGATTTTAGTTTTTTATGTCAAATATGTTATATTAAGTTGAGATTCAGAATTTGGAATAATTTGGAATCGAAATGGTTTGAGAAAAATGTTTGAAAATGATAATGTTGATTTAAGAATGCATTGAAAGTGTGCAGACTTTGAAAAACTGTATAAAATCATAGAAAAATCCAAATGAGGTGAGTCTAATTTCCTTAGTTAGATAATTTAGTCTAGTTTATTTCTTATTTTATCATCAAGTCATGAATTCGAGTTTAAAATGGGCAAAATAGTTCTGCATGCAGCAGCTGTACATAGAAATTTAGGTAAAGTGTTCAAATAGGATATGTGTATACCATGAGTTTCTTATATTGGTTACTTATGAGATTTTGTACATTTACTCCAGGGGGTAATTAGGACATATTTTGATGCTTTGGAAGCAATCTAAGTGTGGTGGCTTGGACTTGCTTTGTGAGCTCATTTTGGAGCTTTTCGGTATTATACGGTTGCCCGGTGAGTTATATAGTTAATTGTTACATGTTGATTTGAACATATATATTTTCATACGAATGTTTTTGGTCTTGAATTGAGTCACACAATCTTTACTTGTCTTTGATTCCGTCTCTTGAGTTTATTCCATATTACTATCTTGGTACATCGGTTTGCTTCCCGGATTCAAACTCGTTGTCTTGTTCCTTGAATTGTACGCCATAGTACGGGTACTACTTCGTGTGGCACGCCAGAAGTTTATGGTGAAGTCAAGATCCCGGGTTGGACGGGTGAGACTTTTTACGGTTGTGAATACTCATTGCTCGAAGAGGAGGAAGAGCAATAAGTAGGGAACCTTGGCACATACCCGGTAGAGGAAGGCGGGCAGTGCGAGGTTTCCCGTAATGTACGGTTCTGATTCGTACTTTGGCATGAGCCCGAGAGGTGAAGGACGGGGTGATGCACTGTCCTCGTTATGTTTACCGATTTGATCTCTTGATTCTTGATATTTATTGGTATTCTAACGTTGCTGAATATATTTGGTTGTTGATCATATCTCCTTGTTGTATTGAGCATAATGGTATGGTATATTATGGTGATTTGAATATGGAATCCTATGATCTTAGCATCCGGTACGTAATTGTTCACTCGGTTTCTTGTAAGTCTTGGTTTGCATTTGGATGATGTCTTGAACTCTTTTATTGATAAGAGTTTATTATGTATGTTTATAAACATGTGCGATATTGATATGTAATACTTAACTATTTAACTCACTAAGCGTTGGCTTACCATTTAAGTGGCAACCTCTCTCTCAGGAAAGAAGACGGATAAAAAGAAAGAACCCATTGTTTGACTCGAAGATTTATCGGGGAACTTGAAGATTACGAACTTGCTTTTGGGTAAATAGTAGCTTATTACTATATCTCATAGATGTAGTAAGTGTAGCTTATATATAGTCTTGTTCCGGTTATAAATATGTCCCGTATTCTTTTGCTGCTAAAATTCGGGTTGTAGGTAAAAACTCTGTTATATCCGGGTTGGAATTATGTTTCGGGTGGTTTTATCACTAAAATATAATGGATATTTCGATGTTTTTCTAGAAAATTAATATCCCATATTTTGAGGTTAATCAATGTTATGCCCAGATCTGTGTGTTTCAAAGGGTTGGTCCATTTTCATCGCCTCTGGACCATTTCATCGCCTCTGGTCCATTTTCATCGCATCTGGTCCATTTTCATCGCCTCTGGACCATTTCATCGCCTCTGGTCCATTTTCATCGCTTCTGGACCATTTCATCGCCTCTGATCCATTTTCATCGCCTC